ACCTTTGTAATAACAATTCCTTCCACACAACTTCTGTTACATTTTACTTGTGGAAAAATGTTAACTTTCACAGCTTTGATAATGTGGTAAATTAAACAGAAGATATGCTTAAACAGCAACTGAGTTATTTCACATTTAAGTATTAAAGGTTTTTCAACCTTTCATCAGAACCTGCTACAGCATTTCCAGTTCCATTCAGAATTTAAATATAAACAAGAACCAGAGAGCTCACAAGGTCCTCCTGCTAGACACGTTAGCAAAGCTGCACTTTTAAATATAAAACAAAGCATACACTGATGAACTACAAAGTAAGAACATTAAGGACACTTGCAAAACTTTACCTTAAGTTTACTTTATAAATTACAGTGCAATTATATCCAGAAAAGGCTATCCAAATCCTGCTTCCACACCAACACATCCTGCTTCTAATCATCTATGGTCTCAAAGTCTCATTCAGGGCAATTCTAAAAGTCAGAATTCAAGATCCTTCCAAAATGAATAATTTAGAGCTTTAATACCTGTAAAGATTTCAAAAAAGTAACAGTTTTGTCAAAAAATTCTGCTAATGCTTCCAAAGCACTTTCAGGAAAAAGGTTTTTATTTGCATTAAGGAAACAGCTGAACCTCCCACATTGGTAGGTTTGTACATGCAAGTGCGATCTGCTATGTATTTTGTTTTAAAAATGAAGTTACACACATGAGAATGCATTTTACTGGCATAGACTTTTCATCTCAAAGCACTGACTAAAGAAACAAGTTTTCCTCAATCTGACAGAACTACACTGCAGAGTGTTGTGGGTATAAGACATCCACCTTTATTACTTAGATTTGTAGGTTTTGACACCTCATTTAAGAAGTTACAAAGTTACCCAATGCACCAGGAAATACCTGGAAGCAATGCTGGTTCATTTTCACAAGTGGGACTACTTCCTCCTCATCAGAAGAGAAGTTTTGCTCTAATTACAGCAAGCTGACCTACTGTTAAACCCCCACCTTCCTGAACAAGTAGAACTACTGAGACAGAACCTTACCAAAAGGGGTGTGGTTCCTTTTTTTGAAGCCATGTTTGACAATTCCCATATTTATACACTCAGCATTTTAAGGAATGCAAGAGTTAATCCTGCTTTAAAAAAAACTGATGTGTTATCCTTTCCTACAAGGATTCTCCCCTTTCCTCCCTGAAGGCATCCCGATTTTCTCAGGCTTTATCTTGATATCAACAAAGCTTATTTAACTCCTGTGCTTTGTAGAGAACAGGATTCACATTAAAAAAAAAAAAAACCAAAAACACCTACAGTAAACACATCCCTTGGAGTCACCAAAAATGGACTGCAGAAACTAGTTTTATGATTTAAATAGTTTTAGTCTTGCTTTGCATTTGCACTGGGGTTTCTTTTAATGAATATTTACATTAGTAAATGCAACTTTTACAGTAAAATCAGTACCTTCCATTAATCATTGCCTATATTCATGTAGATAAATTGTAGCTTTTATATTCACACTAATATGCTCATTAAAAACATTTTTATATATGCTTATTAGTTTGACATAGCCACAGGTAAGAAAACAATTTCTACAGAAACTGGAATAAAATTAAACTGCAAAAAATGGTTACTAGACTTTAACAAAACTACTTCAAATATGCTGGATAAATAAACAGGTTTTGCATTCAAAACTTGTTAAGTGAGGATGCATTACCCATAGGAAGGGCACAGAAGTGATGACTTCCCATTGCTATCTCCCTTAAGAGTTCAGGGCTTCAAGATTTCCACCTCTCACAACTCATTTTTATTTATAGACTGAAGCAAACATAAACCTACGTTATTCCACCTATCTAAAAGCTTCTGAACTTTCAGTGACCTGGGTGAATAAAGCAACTACAAAACACTGCGTCTCACAAAAGCTGTTTTCATTAGCACTGCAAAATCCCTGGTAGTGGACGCTAAAGCCAGTAACTTCCACTGGCAATGGCCCAACTTCAGATCTTTGGATGTACGCAAATCTTACACAATGTATTTACTACAAATAGTTCTCAGATTTTGTTAAAAAAGCTTTTTCAAATTTATCCTCACACTTACTATCATCACTGAAAGATAAGCAAGACTTCAAAAATCTCATGCTAAAATGTGAATCTGAGGAACAATACTGGGTTCAAAACCAGTTACACAATCTTCAATATTGAAATTGTGTTCTTTCTGGCAACTGGCTCTTCTCCCTCCTTCGTTTTAGAGCTTCATTACTTGAACTGTAACTCTCCATTTTGCCACTATTCCAATCCATGTCCTGTCTGTATTCTGAACTACGCTAAATACTGCAAGTTTTAAACCCGAATTATGTTAGAACTAAATACAGCCATCTTACACTGACTACTAGATAGTAACAGGAATGTATAGCCGCTACAAATGGAATTGCTTACTGCCTTTGCAACACTTACATCTACTGACTATACGTGAAGAAAGACATTAATCAAAGACCTTTCAGAACTTGTCTTAGCGCTACATCACTTGATCTCCTATGTACTTATGCTTTTACAGCATTATTACAAGTCTGGTACAAAAAAGTTGTGTCATTTTGTTCACCTTCTTCCTTCCTCGAATTTCAGCAGTTTTGACCAGTGTTCTAGTCATGTCTGTATTGAAATTGCCTACAAAACTATACCACCATCATCATCTGCGTCAGCCTTCAACACTATCAGTTCTGTATCATGGGAGAAAAGTAAATAAAGGAGCAATGTGATTTATTCCCCAAGAAAATGAATGTTTGTCTGTCTGCCTCTACCCCTACATTTATTTGTAGTCCCAACTGGATGGGTGAGAAGGGTGTGCTTTTCAAATACTGTCCAGCTGATTTTTTTAGCTCAGTAAAACTGAATGTTTGAGATAACATTTTTACTGTAAGATGATAGCACAACTTAAACATATCGGAATTAAAATCTTAAGGCATCACAGGATCTGCATGGATATTTGCCTGCTTTTCCAAGACTTTGCAGTGTTGCCTATCTTTGCTTTATTAGCCAATAAAATATACTGCCAGGCTTGGAAAATTCCACTCATACAGGACAATCAATTTTATATGGGACTGAAGCAGATAAAGGAATCAATTGAAATTTACAATGGAAGAGCGTTGATTCTATTCACTTGTACGGAGGCAGGAAGAGTCTCTAGAGGGTCTGCACCCATTTGGGGAGAAAAGAGAAACTGGAATTAATGGATAGAAGAAAGTTCAGAACTTAACTCTGTCAGTCATAAAGGCACAAGCAGCACTTCTCAAATCATACAGAGGCAAGATAACACTGCCATTGTGTCTTTTATTATTTGACAGGACCAGAGGCAATGGGCACAAAACAAAACACAGGAGGTGCCGTCTGAGCATAAGGAAAGACTTTCTTTACTGCAAGGGTGACCCAGCACTGGCACAGGTTGCCCAGGGAGGTTGTGGAGTCTCCATCCTTGGGGATTTCCAAAAGCCATCTGCACATAGTCCTGGGCAGCCTGCTCTAGATGACCCTGCTTGAGCAGGGGGGTTGGACAAAATGACCTCCAGAGGTCCCTTCCATCCTCAACCATTCAATGATGCCAAGATAACTTGGAGTCTAAGTATTTTTCCCTATAGGAACAACATACTGGATTAGAGTTACTTGTATTTTCTGTAAGGGGCTAAAAGAGTCATGGATTACCACATATACTTCTTGATTACATTTCTACTTGTACCAACAGAGAGGTGGCATTTGAATGTGAATTTAGAGGAGGGCACAGTCTTAAAGCCTCTTGGGAAAAAGATCGTGAGATCCTGGCGCTATGCATCTCTTGGCGTATCAGTGCATCTCTAGTTCTGAAACCTGGCCCTGTTAACCTCAAACACGCAGGAAATCTGCCTTATTGCAACTACTTAGACATTTTAGACATCCTTCTTCTAACTTCAGAGAAGTCTGAAACATCACTTATTGACGTCTCCCACATTTAAGTCATCTCACAGCTTCCGCAGCCATGAAAACCTATGTTTTTAAAGTAAAAAAAGGAGTAATACTGTGCATTACATAAAGCCACGAGCAGCGCACCAGCACCATGTACACAAAACACCACACCCTATCTCTAAAACAGGCAGCTGCCATGAAGGTGGATCCCACAGAGGAAGACAAGCAGCACTAATAACTGAGGTCTTACAAGACACCCCGATGCTTGTGAGATTTTTCTGGAAAAATCCGCCTTAAATCCAAGAAGTGTCCAACTGCCATAAAAAGGGATTACACGTACATCTCGTTCACACAGACCCCCTGCTCCTCGACCTTACACCTCCCCAATTACTGCCTCCTAATAGGAAGTAG